ATATAAGGTTTGCCTAGAGTTAACAACCCCCTCAAAATACAAAGTTTAATGGAAAAATGGGTTGTGATGGATGTATTTATAAGAAAACCATTACTTTTTATAAAAAAACCATTACTTTTTATTTATAAAAAAACCATTACTTTTTATTTAATTATTAAGAATAAATTTAAAAAATTATTTTAATAGGTAACTTAATTATTAAGAATAAATTTGAAATTTTTACAAATTATTTTAATAGGTAACTTAATTATTAAGAATAAATTTGAAATTATTTTAATAGGTAACTTAATTATTAAGAATAAAATTCGTATCCCGAAACTTTATTTGTAGAATACTCATGTGCTTTAGTACATATTTAAACTTTATCCCTTATGAAGATGATAAAAGTAGCATTTATTTGTTAGTGATATTTTATATATACACTCTTACTTGATGAGCAAGACACCACAAAAAGTAATTTTTTTTTAAAAAGAAACTACATAGTTAGAAAATTCACTATTCACAACTCATTATAACATTAACCTCTATATTTTGAAGGGTTGTGAATTTTAGATTATCCCATACCCTGAATGTACAAAAAGTAACTTTTTTTTAAAAAGAAACTCATAGTTAGAAAATTCACTATTCACAACTCACTATAACATTAACCTCTATATTTTGAAGGGTTGTGAATTGTAGATTATCCTCTATATATCAAAACCATAGTTTTTCAACATCCCATGTGTGTGTGTGTGTGTATATCAAAACCATAGTTTTTCAACATCCCATGAAAGCATATCAAAACCATAGTTTTTCCACATCCCATGAAAGCATATCAAAACCATAGTTTTTCAACATCCCATGAAAGCAGGTGAAGTTTTCCATAATTGGTTGGATTCTAATATACTTTCCATGCTTAATAGGGTGCAATATTATATAAAAATACATGATTTGAACACATTGTATTGTTTACAAACCTGTGATTCATATGAAAAGTCAGGAAGCGAGAGATCAACAGCATCAAAGACTCGGTTGCTTCCTCGCCAGATTTTATAAAAGCCAAACCATCTAGTAGTTACTTTGCAAATATTGACCTGCGCTGTTGTATTATGGAACTGGACTGCTGATGCCTTTGCTGGGTAAGCCTAAGCAATAAGGAAAAAGCAACAATTAATATGCATCAATTAAAGACAAATGTAAGAAATGTTTATGATAGATTATTCATTTTCTGATACTTTATTCATTTCCATAAAGAAGACAATCTTGACCACTTTTTTCAAGCACAAGAAAATCCTAAGAATCTAGCTGGTTTATGCTCTCATGCCCAAGATGTGAAATTCTAAAGTACAATGAAAGATAAAATGTACACAATGGAATTAGAAATCAAATGGTCTAATAGCTACAAACAAAAATGCATTGATACATGAATCCCAGTACATGTATGCAATTTATATTAATAACTCACAAATGAAAAAATTCTGACACCTGATAGATATGAACTACAGTTGAAATATATAAACAATGATTCCAAATAGTTGTGGGCAATAGATACATACATTATTACATTACATAAACAAATGCTGCCTATGCTCATATATAGAATATATGTGCACGATTAGTAGTAAGTGTAACAATTGGGTTAGGAACTAATATGGCTACTTGTCTGAAAACAATCAGCATTGGCAGATAAAATGAACTGCCAATCAGAAGAGCTTTCTATAAGAAACTGAACTCAAGTAGATCTTATCATGAAATAATAAGATGATCATGGATATTCAGGTTAATGCAATAAGGTTTGGCCAAGTGAAATACACACAAGATCGCCACCCACGACATGAATTTCTGTATAGTCCCGGGTCTTCGTATAATACTTCAAGTCAGCTTCTTGGCACAAAGCAGTCTTTGTTGCTAAATCCAAATCCTTGACCAGGTAAGTTTTTCCTTGGAGCAAATAAACAGCGCCCTCATAAACCTAAGATATCAAAGACAACATTAATCTTCTCCCTTTTGTTCTGTTTTAGAAAAATAAAATTGTTCAAGACAGCATAAGCATAGACAAATAAGTGGCACATACTGGCTGCGTATATGTGATTTATTACTTATTTTCAGAGAGAAAAGAAGTTCTTGACAATCTATCGCTAACTTGCATCTCCTATGTAAAGAAAGCTATATGCAAAGAAGGTACAGGTAAACAGTGCTATCATCAGAATACTGTTGCTTGGAAAAGAAATTAAGTTCCTAGTCTAGCGTCAAACTATCTAGATTTATAAAAAAATTATTTCTATTTTCCAAGCACAAGACTTCTGTGAGCTCTTAGGAAGAAAGAGAAATTGCAAGATGGCCGAGACTTCTATAGATGGGCAGGTAGAATTAACCTTTTGAAGGAATAGTGAGTCTTAGAGTTCTCATGACAGGGGAAATCTGAATATTTTTAATATTATATATTCTTGCTCGACTTATGGGGAGTAATGAAACAAATCTGTAGTGACTGTTTGTTGAAACGAAACAGTTGAAGTGCAATTGATGGCCCTAGGGAACCAATATCAAAAGACAAAAGGCAACCATTAGTCCTTCGGAACCATGACAAAAGCTCTACACCAAATCTATCATATGACACTTCATGTAAGGTGCGACTTATAAAGCAAGCCTATTCATAAATACCATCAAAACTTGAGGTCAAATTTCTCCCAAGTATCGGTGTCAACTTTGAACATATAATACCAACAACCTATCCCACTATGATTCCTACAGTCACAGGCGTCTGTGATCCACCAACAGAATTGTGTGAGCTCTAAGAAAGAAAGTGAAATTGCGAGATTGCTGAGATTTCTATAGATGGGCAGGTAGAATTTAACTTTTTGAAGGAATACCGAGTCTTAGAGTTCTCATGACAGGAGAAATCTGAATATGTTTAATATTACATATTCCTGCTCGACTTATGGGGAATAATGAAACAAATCAGTAGTGATCGTTTGTTGAAACGAAACAGTTGAAGTGCAATTGATGGCCCTAGGGAACCAATATCAAAAGACAAAAGGCAACCATTAGTCCTTTGGAACCATGACAAAAGCTCTGCACCAAATCTATTGTATGATACTTCATATAAGGTGTGACTTATAAAGCAAGCCTATTCATAAGTACTATCATAACTTAAGGTCAAATATCTCCCAAGTGTTAGTGTCAACTTTGAACATATAATACCAACTACCTATCCCACTATGATTCCTATAGTCACAGGTGTCTGTGATCCACCAACAGAATTGTCTACCAAGGGAAGAAATCTTCCATGTTATTAATTGAACTTTGTTGTACAAAATCATAAATGTGCAAACAATTCAGAAAATTAGCAGGAAATCAAATCACAAACAAATTCAGAAAATTAGTAGAATCTGAAGCACAAATAAATCATAAACTAATAGCAATCTAAATCTTCTACCAGACAAATTAGCAAAAAGATGCAGTCGGAGATGAGCTGTCAAATGTAGCCATATCAAGATCCCACATAGCCTCCACACACCACAGTTCCTTGAGCTGTTGATACTTTCAAGTATTGCCAATTACAAACTTATATTAAGGCCAATAACAAAATTATATTAAATATTTCATAATTTTATTCAAATTTTTTTTGGGGTGAAATGTTGCCTGTTCTATTCATAATGTTTTCTTTTTGAGTGTCATCTGAAGTGTTATTAAAAGCATTCTAAGTAAGTAGTATAGATTTCTACCTGAAAAAAGGCCCTGCTTTCTTCTATCTCTTCAATTGTTTCATTAGTTTTCTGGTTTATCACCCTGTACTTCTCAGTCTCCACTGCCCGTATACTAACCCCTTGTGGGGGATTTTTCTGACATTATCGACAATAACACATGCAAACAGAAGAATCTAATGACAAGCCATAATGAGTCAACAAGAACCAGGAAGCAGATCTAAATAGGGAGTTACAATTACAATATTATCTAGTGGACTATGGGAAATTGTAGTCGATCACCATCCAACAAAATGATGGACAAGATGGAGGCGGATCCACCATTGGTGGTAAGATCTTTCTTTGGTGGATCCCATGGGTTCCCCATCATTGTGTTGGACGGTGATGGCCCCAATGGTCTATGAATACACAACTGAATTATAGTACACTCTCTGTACTAATATAGGAACTTCATACCTCATGCCCAATGTAGCTCCATAATTTATCAGCAAAATTACTGGATGGATCACAAGCCAAGTATCCTTTATTCTGGATAGTTACAATTGCATTATGCAGTCCAGAACCAAAAAATTGTTCATCATATTCCAGAGACACAGGGTGTTCAGCAGCAGCACAGACAACTTGCTGCTCCAAAACCTACGTTAGGACCAAAAAATTAGATGTGTGAAATCAAGCTAGCTAAAACAACCATAATTAATTGCTCCAAGACCTATGTGAAGGCCAAAAAATTAGATGTGTGAAATCAAGCTAACTAAAACAACCATAATTAAATAACTGAACTTTAGCCCAGGAAAACCTGTTTGTTGTGAACATCAACTTGGATATGTTCAATTGGTCTACCAAAAAGCTTCTGAGGAAATTTCATGAAATATTGATCAAGTGGTCCTTCGAATGCAATATAGATGGACAGAGATGCTCTTTCTCTTCTCCCGGACCTTCCAGCTTGCTGCCACAGGCTGCATTTGAAAATTAATAGACAAACTTCCATTTCAGATTTTCACAAGTATTGATAGGGATTTGGAATGAGATATTTTTTTTTGGGAAATAATGGTGTAGGCCCACTAGCCTACAACTACATATGAGCCCAACGGCCCAGATTGAATCTGGGCCGATCCAACGATCACGATTGTATGTCATATTTGAATTTTATTTTATTTTATATAAATCCAAATCATTTGAAATTTTGGGCATGTATTCTTTAAAAATAGGATAATCCAATAAAAATATCAGAAAAATATTTCATGAAAAATGAACAGACCAAAATACCCCAGAAATTTTTTGAGGGTATTTTGGTCAATTTATATTTTACGAATTATTTTTTTAATATTTTTATTAGCTGCATCTGGCTGAGAAGAATGGATGTCTAAAATTTCATGTGATTTGAATACATAGAAAAAAATTAAAATTAAAATTAAAATACTAAATGAGGTCATGACCGTTAGATGTTGGGCTCATATGTAGCTGTAGGCTAGTGGGTCTATGCCATCATTTCCCTATTTTTTCTTCTTCTTTATTATAATTAATGGGAAAGGTGGTGGAAGTGGTCTTTTCCCTTCTAAAGATGGACTTTTGTCCTATATCTTACTGCACCAATATTTTCTTTGATTTATACATTTGTGGGACCAAAACCATGGCCAACTTAACCAAAGACATAAAATCAGTAAATTAAGCCAGAGATAGTGCCGGAGAATACAGAAACATAGAACAGCACCTTGCAACACTACCAGGAAAACCAAGATGCAGTGTTGCATCGATATGCCCCACATCAATTCCAAGTTCAAGTGCATTTGTCGCAGCAACACCTTGGAGCTTCCCCCCAAAAAAGTCACTCTCTATGCTCCTCCTGTCCTACTTGATCATTGAAGGCAATAACACTAGTCAAGAATTCTAATGCAAAGAGCTACAGAGTTCAGTCTAAACCAACAAGCAACACACAATTGAGCAGAACAATAAATGCTTCTTCTATAAAATCACAGAAACCTACACCATATGGTCCATTGGGTCATCACTCATCACCATCCATTTCTATAGATGGTGAAGAAGAGAGTGGAACTCACATGTCTTGCTCAGGTAGATTCCCTCCACTGTGATCCATTATTTGAAAGTCACGTGATGACCCATTGGACTATGATTTTTCCATGGTGCATTCAAATTATAGCATACTTTCCTCAAAGCAAATGGTGAGTGGTGAAAACGTTGGTGTTTTAAATTCTGATTGCTTTTGCATGAAAGGACGAGAGCCATGCTGTATTTCCCAACACAAAAATAGTGGCTGGCCCTGTTGGAAGAAACGGGCAGATAGTTTCTTTCTTTTAAGGTTCAAAGGCAGGAATTGTAGCCATAATGGACAGGGTCCTTTATGATTATGTAATGATAGCAATCCACTAAATCAAAAAAAAAAAAAGAGGAAGAGAAAAATGGAAAATAATAGAAAACTGGAAAAAGGAAACTAATAAATTTGTAAAATTCAATTTTATTAAAAAACAAAAACCTTGTTTCCTTCCAAGATCAACAGCCAGAGTTTCAAAGTAATGGCAAATGGACAGGGTGCTTTACCGTTATATAAAGGTAGCAGCCCATTAGAACAACTGAAAACACTGCAAAGAAGAAAAGAGGGGAAAAAAAATAGAAAAAGGAAAAATATTTCTAGAAGTTTGCTTTATTTATTTAAAAAGAAAGTAATTGTTGTCTTCTTTTCAAGATAATAGCTGTTATTTGAAAAGTAATGACATTCTTTCATTTTCACAGCTTTTTAATGTAATATAACACCATTCCATGATAGATGTCATACAGTCACACAGTCATGTAACAGCTCATAGAGGGATAAAGTGCAATATTCATATAATGGGTGATCTATAATCCCTGCCTGTTTAGTAAAATGACGAGTGGGAAGCATTAGTATCATAACAAGCATTATGTTCACTGAAAATCCAATATTTTAAACCATGACAATCATGACCTGATTTTGGTAAACCTTGAAAATATTGTTCTGATTATATAAATAGTGGCAGCAATAATTCAGAAACAGCCTTATTAACATAAAATACCCCCCTATAGTAAGCTCGTAGCATAGTGAAAGTAGCATGTGACTCAAACCAGTAAATGTCTATGATAGCTAATTGACTCAAAATTTCACCCTTGTAATCTTCAGAGGGCAACTAATGCGAAAAGTATCTGAATTGGAGATTACAAAGTAGACAACCTCATATAACTTGCATTAAGAATGAATTGAATCACTGCACATTTGTCAGCAAGGGGTGCTTTTAACAGAGGTTTATTAGCTATGTCGCAAGGATGCAGGTACAGGTATCAGTGTTCAACATGGATTATTGAGTGTCAGATTCTTTGAGCCTTCAAAAGTATGATTCGGTGACACAGCTATATGCAACAATATGGGGCGGATGATTGATTGAAAATCAAAATGATACTGATTGCAACATGGGTGTACTGCTGCGCAAAAATTGCGAAAATCTTATGGGCATGATATTCAGACAAGAACCAACGGAGAATCCAAGAAACCAACAAAGTTATAGTGAGTAACTCATAAGCATTTGACTGTGGTACAAGTAGGGGATACTAAGATTTATGAACTTGAGGCTTGAGATGTGTACCCCTTCTCTATGTGTAGGTTTAAAATAAAGAAAGCATGATAGTAAAAAAAAGAGAAGTTCAAACATAATATTATATTTCATGATTATTTTGGAAATGGAGAATCTGGCCATGTTCATGCCACCGGTGTCCAGCCATGTACGACACGAGGTGTAGCATGGTGAAGAATCCATACAACATAGTTTTTTAGTGATAATTTTTTTCACATTACCCTATTAAGAAATAATCTTCTTTCCATGTACATTTGAAAGAAAATGTTGCTTGGGCATTTGTATGTGCAAGAGATTAAATCTAAATATCAAACACAAATAACAATGCCGATTCATGTAGGTCATGTTCAATTGAATTACCTATCAAATAGGTTCTCATAATTTTTCTGTTAACAGTTATACAAACCAATAGAAAAATTACCTGAGCAGTGTACCCCGCACGGTAGACACAAACTAAGTCAACTAGATGAGGGGCAGTCTCCTGAAGAATCTCACGCCTGAAATGATAAAAAAAATTGAAGGTATCATTTCTGCAACTCAAATAAAAATGCCACCCTTAAGCCTTACAATGAACTGAAATATGCCATATAAGATGCATACGTGTAGCTCAGGACAAGCTCACTAAGTTTACGTGTTTTGCAAAATGCAATGCACCTAAGTCCATGCTGAACCATCTCTGCAAAGAGATAAGAAGTCTCCAAAATAGGACTGCAAAACAGTAAGCACACTAATTCATATGAGAACAAATAAATCTAGCTGAGTTGTTCATAAACTCATAGCATATATGATAAAGAATAAATAAAATCAAATAAAATAAAAAACAAAATAATTAGGGTATAAAGTCCAATATATGTTTTAGTTGCATAACATCAGATAAATTATGCCTTCGAAAAAATTTAGAGCACAAACCAATTTTAATCTAACATGGGTACCAACCACGTCTAGTTGGACCTGACCCCACCATCAACTTAGTTGGCATATGCCAGCAAGGCCATTCATCAGGTCATGAAGTGGAAGACTTAGGCCCTGTTTGGATGTACCAACAACCCCTCTAAGAAGGGAGCTATTTATAAATATGTGAAAACCAGATTTTTCCTTTTTCATATGTACGGATGTCTCGGCTGCATTTTGTTGATAAGCAGGATTAAGGGGCTTCAATGCTAAATGGGTGTAGCTATTGTTATTAAATGGAGGGCGTAGGAAAGGATGGTGCTATTAATATTTTTTTGAGAGAAATGGTACTATTAATATTAAATTGTCCAAATGAGACTTTAGTTGCTTTAACATGTAAATGTAAAAGAGAACCCCAATAACTCGTGTTTACTAAGAGTTGGACCTTGCCCAAGTCAACTCAGCTTTTCCCACCCCAAGGTTTTGAAGTTAAATTATAAAACAAGGTTTGGCTGAGAATCAGGGTTTGAGTTGCCAAGCCCTTTTATATTTTGTGGTGCCCCTGTGCCCTACCTAGTCTAGTCTCTACCAAGTTTTAAAGACTAAGCAAAGTCCAAGATCTGAAAGATCCAAAGAAGTCACTAGAAATTGAAAGTTAGTCTTTTAGTTTCAAGCAGATAGTTAAACCCAACTGAGGGTAACTGGGGAGATTCAACATAGAATCCCCAATTAATTGCATACAGAGGCTTTCTAGGCCATTTGTTACCTCAGATGTGACACATAATTAGAAGCCACCTTTAATTTAAATCCCAGGATTGAATTCAATTCAATTACTGAAACCAAACCAATAACTGGAGCAATTAATGGCATGAGTTGCATGATTTATAACAAACTGATTTGCATGATTACAATTAGCCCTTTGTTTCATATGCCTATCAGAACCACTAAGCAATGACAAGGTCTATACAACAGTGCGGATTGCAGTTATTGATCAGTCTACAGGAGAATAAGGATGAAATAATCTACCTTGACCGTTTGATGAAGACATTAATATCTTCAGATTTGCCATCAATTGGGCTGCTTGGGCATATCATTGCCTCTGATTTTAGTGATAGCTGGAAGTCAATTAAAGAATAAAAGAAATTAAAAAGAAAAAGTCACACTAACGTTTCTAAAAAGAGAAGCTCATCAAACTCGAAAAGTAAGCCAAAGGCCCCCAACATTTTTATAGTTGAAAGGTGGATTCCATAAAAGGAAGAGCTTCGGACCACATGGGCTTCCATCATTCTGAACCAACTTCAGTGTCTGTAAGTTTGCAAGTTCCTAAAACAAATAGAGAAAGAAAAGGAAGCATAAATTTGAATCGAAAGAATTCATAACCCAACTACAGAAATTCAACATAGGATAAAGAAAATTCAATCATTGTAATTAACATTTGAGACATTAATACACCAGTCCCACATTGGTTGCAACAAATCCACCAGCATTATACAAGAACAAGATCACACAAATTTTCACATGCACATAGTTTTAAGAGATCAAATTATCACTTCATATCATCAAAGCCAAACCACTGGAGAATCATACCATGGCATGCTCGCGGGGGTTTGCAGCAGTTGCTGTACACAAGATGAAGGAGGGCGCACTTCCATAAACTGCAAGCGGACAAGACTTTCCATTAAATTTCTGATAATACATGGAGTAAGTAAAGAGAAATATGTAAGAGATATCAAGCTTAAAACCGAAATGACTAAAGACATGATTTACCATGAGAACAAATTCTACACAATCTCCTCAATATGAGAGAAGTATGGTTGCCAAATGTTCCTTTGTATGCATGAGCTTCATCTATGATGACAAACCTAAACAATACTCAAAATATTAGAAGCTTCTTTTGCTGAAAAAATGGATCAAGAAATTCATCAGTAAAATAACAGCAATAGAAACCGTTTTCACAACCCTATACCATAAGCATAAAATGGGCATGGATGCTTGGTTCTATACTTACTTATCATCAATTATTAGAAGAAAGCTGAGAGTGTAGACACCAGTACCTGAGATTTGACAGGATTCTCTGGAACTGTCCATGAAATGGCAAGATTGAAATATGAAGCATATCTGGATTTGTAATCAGCTGCACGTGTAGACTGGCTCATCATGTAACTAAACATAGACCAGTAAATAGACACATTAAAGGGAAAAAAGGTAGACCTATAGTGGGTAAAACTAAATCTACTCACTGCCGCAGCCACCTGAACTTTACAAACATACCAATCTGGCATTATCACGAAGCCATTTTCTATGCCCAGGAGAAGTGTCACCATCATAGACACCAATATGAAACCCAACATCCAATCCACCAGTCATCTCTAACAAAGCTCTCAACTGATCTTGAGCCAAGGCCTGCAAGCATGAACTGGGTCAATAAATTTTAGCACATTCAGTAGATTATACTGATTGGAGAAAAATAGAGAATAAGAAAATCAACAAACAAACCAGAAGATGGAAAACTAGATATCGATGAGAACACTTTCTTGAACCCAATTAGACTATCATGACACAATTACTTGTGTAAGCTCAGTCGCAGCATTTAGGAAGCTGTTTCCCATTTCCCAAATCAGGGGTAGAGTACCTGAGGAGTAGCATGGCAGTTTTGTAGAACACTGAAAATATGCAAAGGAACCCATACAGAGGCTTGACTCACCTGAGTCAGCTCAGCTCAGAAACCTGGCAAATCCCAAACCAAAACTTAGGGACTCTACCTGAGTCTTACCATATTCTGGCCCCCTTTAGTTATTTTTTTACAGACTCAGTCAAGTTGTACAGATTAGTGAGAATAGCTTTTGTTCTTCCTTCCCTATCCACCCTTTGGTGTCTCCTTTTGACTTCTCTGTGCATTTGACATGTGCAGTTCGTCTTTGTTAGTTAGAGCTTTGAAATCCTTCAGAAACCTTTTGGTGAAGAGCTACTTTCTTGATAAAACTCAGCAGAATTGAGCCTAATCACTCCAGCTGAGCACCCAAATGAGTGATGACCATAGTCCTGCTATCAAACACTATATACTCTATCAATTATATGACTATAAATGTCTTTGCTTCCTTTATTGTTATCAGAGCTTCCATTATCCAATACTGTCATATATTGATCACTTTTTGGATCATTCCTTGTCAAGCATTGCTTATTTGGTTCTTTATATGCTATTCATGTTCAAGTATTGCTTATTGCTTATGTTCAAGTATATGGTTATTTAGATAGAGTTTCTAGTGACAGTAGGCCTATATCAAGAGTTAGCGTTGAGCCCATATATCTTCGTTTGGTTATGGACGAGTTAACTAGGCATCTATAATATGAGGTACCGTATGTGGATGATATAGTTTTGATTGATGAGACTAAAGATGGTGTTAATACAAAGTTAGAACTTTGGAGGGATGCTCTAGAATCAAAAGATGTTAAAATCTACTGGACTTAGATAACATCTATGGAATGCAAGTTTAATAATAACATAAGTAGAAATGAGAAATTAATTACATTGATGGCCAAGAAGTAACTAAAAAATTATTTTCAATAAATTGGGTTGATAATCCATGAGAATGGCGAGATTGAGGAGAATGTCACACATAGAACTAGAGCTGGGTGGACAAAGTGGAGATGTGCTTCAGGAGACTTATGTCATCTTCGCATACCCATGAAATTAAAGGGAAAGTTCTATATGACAGTTGTAAGACCAATCATGCTTTACGGGACAAAATGTTTGGCGATCAAGAAACATCTTCATAGAATGAATACAGTTGAGATTGGGATGTTGAGAAGGATGAGTGACAAGAAAAGAAAGGATACAATTCAAAATGAATACATCAGAGGAACTTAGGGGTGGTTCCAATAAGCGATAAAATGAGGAACACAAACTTGGGTGCATGTAAAACGTTGACCTAAAACAACACCAGTTAGGAAGAGCGATTTGGTTCAAGTGAAAGGCTCCAAATGAGCAAGGGGAAGGCCCAAAAGGACATGGATAGAAGTAATTAGAAGAGATATGGTGACCTATGGTCTGACTGAAGGTATGCCCTTTATAAAGCAGAATGGCAAGACAAAATTTGTGTTGCTGACCCCAAATAGTTGGGATAAAGCTCGGATGATGATGATGATGATGATGATGACATTTTATTCATCCATCGATACAAGTTTTTATTGCCATTCAATCAAACGATGAACAAAGATGGATAAATAGAGTATAGGAACCATAAGAACATGATACAACCCCAAGTGATAGGTCCCACTCTTTCTCATCACAGTCATATCTCTCATAATATGGTTCTCGTACTATCTTACTCCAAATCAAAGTGTTATTCTTATCAAAGTCCATATGCTTAGTGTATTATAGGAAATAAGTTAATTTTTTTTATTAATGCATATCCAATTATTTTCTAGTACCATAAGTCAAAACTTCAGTTTTAATGGAAATGCATCTTTCGTTGAAAATCATGTTGGAAAAACCAAGCAATCTAACTGGTAACCGCCCGTTTAGATCGGAACCTGCCAGTGGCAGGTTCCGGTTTAGGCGGTTTTGGTGATCGACTGGTATTTGAAAAAAAAAATTCAAAGAAATGTATATAAAATCTCAAAAATAAACAATTTGATTTGTAATAATTTTTTTAATATTCTTTACATTATGGTAAAGATTAGAAATTGTTTTGGTCATTAATACTCACTTTTATATTTTCCCATCGTTTTCAAAAATTTTAAAAAATACCCTTAGGGACCTTTAAAATCCAGTTTTTTCATTAATTTTCAACTTCATTTGAATGTGTTTTGTTTTAATCA